CCTTCTCTCACACGTACACAAACACATTCCCCAAAGCACTTACTGAGCCCCACCCTGGGCACTTTGGGGCATGTACTACCAACCTCACTTACCTTCTGAAAGCATTACACAATAACTTGAGTGGATAAAAACTTTATCTTTACAAAAATATAGTCTTAGAAGTGAAAGTTCCCCTTAGTCACAAAGAATCACACTTGACAGGTTTTTTCCTGCTTGTATTGCTATCTTTCCCCACAGAAACAGTTTTCTTTTAGGTGTCGTTTTGCAGCCTACATTTTGCAATTTGCAGTTTATCTCAGAACCCTTGTTATGGCAGTACAGGCCTGTCTGGCACATTTCTTTTTTATGAACACTTTATAATTCCTGTAGTGCGTAGCCTTCTGCTGGACACTCTGGTGGCTCCCTATGGTTCACCATTACCGACCACATGCGGTAAACATCCTCACACTGCAGAAAACATTGGCATTTTGCCTGCGTGTGTCTAGAACTGGGATTTGCCAGGCCCACCCCTCCTAGGAGGACTCCCTTCCCACTACCCAAAGTAGGCTCTGCCAAGTATCCAGAGTCAGGCGGTGACTGTGTGCTTTGAGTGCCTTCAGAAAAACCATAGGTGTTCAATGAGAGATACTCGTAGCCCCCTGAGCAGATTGACATTTTTCACATAATAGCAGTAATTGTTGCTGGCAAGTCTGCAGGTGAATGGACGATCTTATGTGCTGCTAGTGGGAATATAAGCAGCAACAGTAATGAATTTAGTTTGTTTTTTTCCTTTTTAAAATATTTTTATTGATTTCAGAGAGAGGAAGGGAGAGGGAGAGGGAGATAGAACCATCAATGATGAGAGAGAATCACTGATCAGTTGCCTCCTGCACACCCCCTGCTGGGGACCGAGCCTGCAACACAGGCATGTGCTGTGACCAGGAATCGAACCGAGATCTCCTGGATCCTAGGTGGACGGTCAACCACTGAGCCACGCTGGCCGGGCTTTTTTTTTTTTTTTTTTTTTATCATTTCAGTTGACTTGTGAACAATATGGTTTGAACTGCTTGGGTCCATTTGACCAACACATTTCAAACCTGCAGTGCTTGGGATCAACTGGCAGTTGGGAGTCTGAGTATGCGGAGGGCCGACTGAGTTATACACAGGTTATTGACTGCACGGGTAGTCAGCGCCCCTAACTGTACCCCTGTGCCATTCGGGAAGGCAACTTGTCAAAACAGCATGTTTTAAAATGATTCATCCTTCCCTTTAGCCCAGCAATTCTACTTCTGGGAATATGCTCTGAGGACTTACATAAAGACCTAGTAGTGTCTGTAATGGTGTAAAATTGAAAAGTACCTTCATGTTCATTTCTAGGGGGCAGATCTGGTCATGGTACATGCAAGTAGGCATGTGCAAAAGTCACCTACGGAGAACTTTAATGAAATGTTCTAGAGCTTTCCAAAGAGTCAGCTATAAAGTGCAATGTATGGTATGATGCCCAAATGACTTTTAAAATGTATATGGCCCTTTGTATGTGTGATTCTTTTCTCTCTCTAGGCTGTATAGTCAAGCACCAGGGTTGTTAACCACAATCTGTGTAGCATTAACTTCTAATTTCCTATTTTTCCTACCCATGCCATACCCCATCTCTCTTCTAAGCTCCAGCCTCCTCTCTCGTACCTATTCTGCCTTTCCCCTTGGAGGGCTCACAAGCATCTCAAAGTTAACATGGTCCAATAGAATTCTTAACCTTGACCTGCAGTCACTCCCCAAAGCATTCCTCCGCTGCTGCTCCCCAGCTCAGGAAGCCACACTTCTGTCCACCTGCTGATTCGTATCAGAGAGCTCATGTCCCCATCACTCAAATACCAAGTCCCGCTGAGTCACCTTCCAAATTACATTTTGTCAAAAAAGGTCAGTGCTGGTGACTGGAGCTGTGCCTTCCCTGCAGGATGCAGCTGGACTCACTCCTGCCCTTGTCCCCACAGGCCTGAAGAAGGATGAGACAGGCATGATGGAGGTGGAGTCCTCCTACTCGGACTTCATCTCCTGTGACAGGACAGGCCGTCGGAATGCAGTGCCCGACATCCAGGGAGACTCCGAGGCTGTGAGCGTGAGGAAGCTGGCTGGAGACATGGGCGAGCTGGCACTGGAGGGGGCAGGTCAGAACCCCTTCAGCACTTTTCCGTGTCTCCGTTTCCTCTGCTAGAACAGCCGTCACCCACCCCTGTGGTTGCAGCCTCATGCCCCAGCTCGGATACCAGATGCTCACCAGAGCTTTCCATGCAGCTATAATTGGCCTTCCCTAGTCACACGACTCTTCACTCTCTGACAAGGTCTCCTGGGTTTAAATGAGCTCCAGCAGAGCAGGGGCCTCCTGTTCTGCAGGCGGTAGCAGGTGTTTAGAAACCACAGGGTGATTGAGTGCGTGGAGGAAACAGCATCTGCTATCCCCTCTGTAATGCCCCTTCCCCTCCCTCCCTTTCCCCACTTCTTCCCCTATAAGTACAACAGAGGAGACTTTGTGGGGGCATGGACCCAACACTGTCATGTTTTTTAATCTGGACAAATAGGCCCAGAGAAGTTGGATAGCTTGCTCAGGGTCACCAGCAAGTTAACATAGAATGAGAACCTGACTGCCCCCAGCACCCTGCCCAAGGAACCACAACTACACCCCTTCTCTGGTCTATCAGCCTTCCCTTATTATGTGGCCCATACTCCCTACCCAGGCACATGAGCCTCCATGGGTCCCACTCTGCTCACCTCAACAGCCTCAGCTCATCTTTCTCCCTCAGTGCCTCTGATCCAGCCAGAGGAAAGTACTTTTATTTCTTAAAAGCCCCTTGTGGGCCTGAACACACCACTCCCGCTGTCCAGTTCTCCCTGCCCTCCCCTTGCCTGGCTCATGTTCCTCGTTCTTAGAAGCCCAGGCTGCTCTGCTGAGAGGCCTTCCCTGGCCATATCCCCCTCTCAGACAGAGGGAGGCATATCTTCTCCCTGCCTCTGTAATTGCACTCAGCACAATGCCCCTGCTGCAGGCCGTGAGCTCCTGCACAAGATCTGTGTCTTGTGCCCTTGGTGCCTGGTAGCATTTGGAACATGGTAGCGGTACCTAGTCAATGGCTGTTGATTGTCCAACTGAATGACCAGCATGCCCAGCTGCCACCTGGGCATGCTGCCAGGGGGCTTGTACTCAGGGCTTCTGTATCCTCAGCTCTGGTGAGCTGTTTCAGTCTCCCTCTACCTCAGCAGTTGCAGCCATTTGTCTGTGGATCCAGTACGTTCTAATACCCATTTCCCATGGGTGCATGACATTTTCCTTCCAGGGTGCAAAACATTAAAAAGGGGACCTAAGAAAGGAATAGTGCTTGCTGCAAGGAAGTGAAGCATTCATGGTAGAGTGCAGGGCAGACTGGCAGAGGAGCCCTCCTCTGGTAGGCCTTGCACTGAGCAGTTTCCACAGCTGGTCTGCCAGCTGTGCTCAGTCCAGCAGACCTGTTGAGGGAATGGGAATCCAGAGTCTCATCCTGCCAGCCGGGCTGAGAATCTGTTTGCTTAAAGCTTCCCAGGGGACTGATGCACAGCATGTTGTGTGCAAACCTGTCCCTGATATTTCCTTATGTGGGGAGCACGAACCTTTCCTTACTTGGCCCCCATAATGAGAGAGAAACAGACAAGGCCTGAAAAAATGAATCCACTGCCAAGCAGTGTGTGACTAGGACACATTTTCAAATGGTGCTCTGAAACTGGCCCCAGAAGTTCCAAGGGTGCTGGTTGGCAAGGAAAGTGCTAAAGGACCTTCTCAAGCCAGAAGAGCTGGGACTGGCACAGAGGAAGCGTTACCATTACCATTGGCTAAGACAATCCCACGTGTCAAACGGCCACATACAGGCCCA